ATGTATGTTGGGTAGTGGGATTGACCCTCAATCCAATCTCTATTGTTTGTTTTGTATGTGATGGATTTTCTCAAAAATGTGTTTTTGTCTTCCTTTGTGATTTTTTAGTGTTCTATTCGATGTTATTGATATGAATATGTATTAAATTTAGTATTTGATTTGATAATTGTGAATCTTGGGTTTCTTGTGGGTTCCTATGAGAATCCTGAGGGAATGCATTTATGTGTTTGTACGAGGAGATGGTATGAACATTTGAATTTATGTAATTGATGGCTTAATAGAGTGATTTTAGGCTTTTAATCTATTATTCTATCAATTGGTGGTCAATTTTGATGATAAAATGAGTTATGGGGTATAAGAATCAAAATTCGCACATGTCAGATTCTGTCATGGGTGTGACTAAAGAGTCATAGTTGTAATTGGTCAATCATGAGCATGACTAATAAGTCATGGGTGTGATTGACAAGTGATAGGCGTGACTGATGTCACGAGCGTGACCAGTGAACCACGACCATGTCACATTCGAAATTTGGTCTCCCTTTAGTTTTATCGACACAATCACGAATGTGACCGGTGAGTCACATATGTGACTGAAATCACGATTGTGACTCATGCTGATGTTCCTTTTTCTCATTCTTTTCTTGTTTGTTTTTTTTTTCCTTTATCACCTTTACTGCTTAAGATGAGTTATACTTATGAGTTTGAGATAACTTGAGAATAAGATCTAGTAAGTATAACAAAGTAATTGAGTTAACGTTCAAAAGATGTAGGGGTGAAGAATGTTCTTATAATAATTAAAATTGGAATGCTTTAGTAGTGTGGTTTGGGACTATGATTCATAGTGTTATTATGGAATGGTTTACCCTTAGCTGTTTAATCTTATGAATGCTTTGAGGTATCTATATTAGTGCTTAGGAAAGAGAAATCATGAGAAGAAACAATTGGCAATAAGTTATGATATGAGTTAATTATTAAAAACTTTAAGTATTTTGGTAATAACAATGCATAAAAACTTAATGTGCGATAATGATAAATTTGCTAGATTAATTAAGCTATTGATTTAAACTCTTAGTAACATTAATCTCTTAATGACTGTCAATGTGTTAACATATGATTAAACGATCTCATAATTATTCTTTCTTAAGGTGTATCGGGTGATATTATGTAATCATTGTATTACTTAATGTTGATAACTAGTTGTAGTGTGTGAATATGCCATTGATATGATATATTATGAGCTATGTATGAATTGATTGATGTGCTTTGACATTGATACAGTTGATGTGTATGGATCCTGTGAAGGTCATATGATGAGAAGTCTAAGCAAGGTTTAGCCATGATATGATATCATAAGACATGTGATTTGTTATGGTATGGGATTATGTGAAATGTTATGCATAGATTTTTTTTTCATGAATCATATGCATAAAAGTGTTTTTAAGGGTATGCTATGAAATACACCATCAAGGAAGGCCCCCTTGTGTAAAAGTTTAGGGACCAGTCATTGGAGATAACTTGATTTGGAAGTCTTAGTCTTACTCTTTGTGTGCATGAGATGTATCTTACATAACTCAGTTATCTCAACCAAACCCTAATAGTATGTCCTCCTAGTAAGAGTGCATAGAGGGTGTGACTCAGCATGTACTTCCAGGCTACTCTATGTATATTGCTAGCGGCAATGTACAAGTGTGATGTATGATGGTTTTACTGTGCCACATGCATGTTAATATGTACTCCATGTCCATTCCATAAACATCTTAATGTTATGTGTGAATTAATTATTATGTCATGAATGAGTAAAGTGTGTTATTGTTACCAATCTACCTATGTTATGTATATATGTATATCTTGTTTGTATTTGATTGTCCGACTACATCTTACATCGTGAGTCAGAGTGAGACGTTTCTCACTCTCCTTGTTTTGTGTTCTTCTTCTTGTATGTTGTTGTAGGTGATCTTTATCATGATGTTGAGGATGTTGGTAATGATACTTAATCCTTGTAGAAGGGTTATGCTCTGATAGAATGTGACATTGAAACTTAATTAGGGATTTTTTTTGTCATGTTCGAGAAAATTGTTAGTTTTCTTGTATTAGATTTCATTTGGGTTTTAGTTAGTTTTGTTTTGTTAAAAATGTGATACCTTTTATGTTAAACACGTTAAATTTTATTTAGGAAAAACTTTTCTATTCAATTTTATTTATTCTAGTATTTATTTTATGCGGGTTATAAGGTATCATAAGCCTCCTCTCTTCCTCTTCCTCTCTCTCACCAATCTCAAACTAATGTGGACATCAAAACTCAGGCCCATGAAAAGGATGATTAACAAGCCCAAGCCTATGATGGGAAGCATTAAGATCAAATCCATTTCAAAACTTAATTGGACCCAACAACAACAAAAAAAAAATCTCACACTAATTAAGAAAATTATTTAATATCACTTAATTACATTAATTTTATTTAAAAATAACCTAATTTCTTAATGATACTAATATCATGGTTAAAAAAATACCTTTCATTTTTTACTTGATATTAAGAATAACAATGGTCATTCAAAATACAATATCAATAAAATAAATGAATATATTAAAGATGATAGCATTACCTAAAGTATATTTAATTGAGATTTGCTTATGTCGGAGACTAATTAATATATTTAATTGAGATTTGATTATGTCTTAGACTAATTAATATGAGATTTTCATTCAGAATCGAAAGAAATATTTATTAACTTAAATATTTCACGTATTAATTAAGTCTTAATTAAGATTGACTCCAAAATAAAATGGATTGTGATGAATAAAATAGAAATACGAAAAAAAAGAAATATAAAAAAGAAAAATTGACGAATATAATAAGTGAAGGGAGAAATGCATAAAAGTAAAGAGAAGAGAAAATAGATAAATAATGATAATTTTTCTATTAATTAACAAGAAAAAAATCCCAATAATCCACTTTTGAAAAGATTAAGTTTGATTGGGTAACATATTTTTATTGGATAGATTTGTACTTTTCAAACTTGTGATATTTTACAATGTGTGGCTATTGGCTTCGGATCTCGAGCTAAAGCTGAATAACAATATACAATTACCCTCATTTGTTGTTATTAACGGCTCTTTGCTCGACATGTTATGAAAAACACCAAACTCCAATCCAACTGCATCGTCTATGCGTTGGCATGGATTCAATTCTGATTCAGTTTTTAACATATACTATCAATTTTAACCTGTTAAACTAGCATCATGGTATAGATCTTAAATGCATATATTTTTCTGTGTAGAGATCTTAAGTATACATATGTGAAAAATATTGCATGTATAATAAGATACAAATCAAAATAAAGATTTCATTGTTTTTTTAATTTGATTTATATTTAATTTGTTGCTAACTTTTTAAAGTTAATTATATAAATACATATTTAAATTTAAATTCTCATTTTTTTTAAAAAAAAATATTGAACTTATGATTGATTTATAGAATGAATTAATGTTAAGATTTTATAAGATATTATTTTTTAATCATAATATTATTACAAAGTATTCATTGTTGAAAAGTAACTAATTTTCATAAAAAAAACTATGAGCACATATAATATAAGATAAGTATTTTCCTCCCAACATAATTTTAATAAAACTCAGATAAAATTGGAATTATTTTAGATTATATAAAATAACATATTTAATATAAGAAATTTTAAATTCATAATAAATAATATTTAATGTTTTGATCGGTAAATTTTGAGTAGAAGAAAGTTTAAAACTATTTAATTAACTGAGTTAATGAAAATTGTGAATAAAAAGAAGAATTTCAGGGTTTAAATAGAAGTAAATCAACCCTAAAAAAAAAGTAAATCAACGAATGAAATAAATTTGTACGTTCAAAATCACACACAGGGTAAATTAGGAGAACCAAAATTACAATTAAACTTCAATCTAATAGTTTTTCCTAAACTTCATAAAAACATTTAAATTACTAAGATTTGAATACAAAAAAGATTTGAGTTTTTTACCAACTAAATATAATTATTAAGAATTAATAAAAACATACTATTTTTTATATAGAAATAAGTTAAAAAAAATTACTTCCCTTGATTTTTAAAATCGTGAAATATTAATCATTTATCTTAATAAATTAATTGAACATTGTAAAAAAAAACAGAAAATTTTGATCAATTTACAATTTTGGTTCATCTATTTTAAAATAAAGATATTTAGCCTCTTATTTTTAAAAATATGAAATCTTGATCCTGTCATTAATTTGATATTCATTGATATTAAATTTTAATGTAATTTATTAATTAAAAGTGACAACAAACTGAACCAACTCGAAAATAGTTTAAAACTCAATTTGATAATTAATTCATTAAATTTTATTTATGAGTTGAACTTAAATTAAAAATTAAATTTGATACATAAATAAGTGACGAACATATAGAGATAAAAGTTAAAAAAAATATACAAAACAACATCATTTATATTTATTTTAATGAGAAATTGGTATTTATTTTATCAATAAATCTTATTTGTATAATTTTTTTAATATTTTTAATTTCTAAATATTATATTAGTGAATGTCACATCTGTTAAATATAAATAAATATTAAAAGTTAACAATTAAAATTAAAAAGATAACTAGTTAAATAGTGTGTGATTTGTCGTACTATATATTTTTTTTCATAAATATTGTTCGCATAATATCTTAAAGTAGACAAATAAAAATTAATTTGCACCAATAATGTCGTCAAAATTTGTAATACTTTAATACCAATTTATTTTTTTTATAAATACATACAAAAATTTAAAATAAAAAATGTTAATGATGTCATAGTTGTCCCGAAATTAAAGATCCTTTGATCAAGCATTCGTTACCAAAAGTCATATTAAATATTCAGCAAGTGTGTTTTAATGACATTATTTGATACAAAAGTATAAGAAAGCTGACGTAAGATTTTAGGAAGCACATCATTGTCAGGGGCAGTGTCGGTGACGAAGTAAGTAAACACACACTCTCTCTCTCTCTCACTCACTCACCATTGAAATTGCATTGCATTTAACAACATCAACTTGGGTTTTTGTCTTAGTATCAATATATCATAGAGTGAGCGAGTGTGTGTGTCCCCCACCTCCATGTGCTTCTAAAGCTGCTTCCGTTGTTCCGGGTCTTCATGTTTCACTTCTACTTTAAGTTTACAACTTCTCCTCAATTCTAATCTTGTGTTCCCCATTTGGATAGAGAGTCATACTCACACAACACAAAGATCATGGGAGTGGATTTAAGGCAAGTGGTGGCTGGTGTGCTTACCCTCACAATGTTCGTCATGCTTATACATATGATCAAAAGGGACCATTTTGATGCGGTTCAAGTAAGATATACTATCTCCTCCTTTTACATTTTGTATAGCATTTTATGTCTCTCTCACATACACACACTCACAAGAGTGAGTTTCATTTGTTATTCTAAATTACTGTCAAACAAATAGCCAGGGATCTGGTTGCTATAAGAGTAAAATGAAATTCAAGGATCAAGTGGAACCCATCTTGTGTAAAGCTTGTAGAGATGATAGATCCTTAATTCCCAATTCATAAATTTGAAGAGGAAAAAAATAATTGTAGCCAAATGTATCCAATTAGATTTATCAAGCTCAGGCTGTTAGACAGGGAAATTGCAAACTCACATCTATATGCCTTCAGTTTTGTCCTATCCAATCTGTCTCTCTACCTAATTTTCTTAGCATTCCCAATTCAGATTCCATCTTTTTTATACCTTCAAGGCCTGCCTCCCTCCTCATTAAGTTTATTTTTTGAATCCAAAAAAGGGGAATAGTAGGAAAAACAAGGGGAGAATTCTTAATTCTAATGCATATTTCTTTTGAATATTACTCTTTTAATTTGTAAACATAATTATACTGAATTTGTTTCACTTGTCTTTCTTTTACCTTTTGCTTTACAGGATAAACTTCCTGGAACAGAGGATGTCAGTTTTGATAATGCAAACTTTGAGACTACTCATGTTAGAAAGAATATAGGGATTTGGAAGGGAGATGCTGATGAGTTAAAACCATGCTGGGTTAAGCCATCTGAAGGTAAAATTTGATTTTAAAGACTTGCAAATTGTCAAGGAACTTTGTAAGATTTACAGGTGCTCCATCTTTTTGTTCTTATTAATTAATATTTTGGCAATGGCTGGCAGACAACATGGAGCAGAGTGAGGGATTTGTTACTTTTTCGCTAACTAATGGCCCAGAGTACCATATATCTCAGGTAACTGATTCTTTCATCGTGCTTGACGCATTGAAGAGTTGCTTATGTATTAGTTATGTAAAGATAGTTGCAGCTATATTTCAAACATCTACAATATTTTCCCCTTCATTATTCGCTCTTCTCCTTACCCAAAGAAATGAAGCCATATATTGTGTATAGTTTCATAATATATCAGTGCTCTCAATGTGTTTCTTAATCTACTTATCATCTATAACTTTTGCCTTACAACCTAAAATTGGTTCCACTCTTGATTTTGAATTTTCTTGTTATCCCCCTTCTTGCCTGCTGCTGTTAGTTTCAAGCATCTATGATTGTTACTTGTTAGTTACTCATTTTTTTTTCATAACTATTGGTGAAGGTTGAACATGTGAGATATGTTCCCTTCTTAATCTGAAATTTCAACTGTTATTTCTCACATTATGTAATTTTCTGGTAATTCCTTGTCCAGATAGCAGATGCAGTGCTTGTTGCCCGTAGTCTTGGGGCAACACTTGTCATCCCTGAAATTAGAGGAAGTCAACCAGGTGACAAGAGGTTAGTTCTGACTTTCATTCTATAAAAGAATTAAGGTATAAGACAACGAGGAAAATGTTAATGTTAATGTTAATTGCTTCTCCTATTTCAATCTCTGCTATAGTTGAAGTCATAATAGTTTTGCTCACTTGTTTTGCTTTCTGCTATGATTGATGCTCATCTTATCTTGCCTGCAACCAACACATATTGTCTACTGGTGTAAACAGCATGCTATAGTTGAGCTATCTTTGCTAAATATGTTTTTTTGTCCTTTCTTTTTCATATATGATGCTAGTTTATTCTAATTCATTTTTTCTCTAGATTCCTGGCATTGCTTAAGAAATAGAAGTGATTATCATGAAAAGATTAATTTGAAAATGCTATATTATGATGAAATCAGTCTAATTTACTGGGTTTACAGATGCACTTGCATGTACCTAATATAGTTTGTGTCTCAGGAACTTTGAGGACATTTATGATGTTGATGTGTTCACGAAAAGCATGGAAGGAGTGATCAGAGTGGTTAAGGATCTTCCTGCTCATATATCAACACATAAAATTGCTGCAGTGAAGGTCCCTAATCGGGTTACAGAAGACTACATAGCTAAACATGTTGAACCTATTTACAGATCCAAGGGGAATGTAAGGCTTGCTACTTACTTTCCTTCAATAAACATGAGAAAATCTGGGGAAAAAGGTGATGCGGATTCTCTTGCATGCTTAGCAATGTATGGAAGCTTAGAGTTGCAGCAAGAAATGCATGACCTTGTTGACTCAATGGTTCAAAGACTTAGGACTTTAAGCCGAAAGTCTGACGGCCAATTTATAGCTGTGGATTTGAGGGTTGAGATGTTGGATAAGAAGGGTTGCCAAGGAAGTGATAGTGGTAAAGAGAAGAGCTGCTTCAACGCTCAAGAGGTTGCAATGTTTCTGAGGAAGATTGGTTTTGACAAGGATACTACAATCTATGTGACACAATCAAGGTGGGATGGAAGCCTTGATTCTCTTAAAGATTTGTTCCCTAAAACTTATACAAAGGTGAGATATTTGTTGATTGTTCTTATTTCATCTCTCTCTCTCTCTTCTCATACACATTTTTTTATTGGAATGATCAGAGGAATCTCTACATTATTTTTTGAAAAAATTTTTTTTATAGTAAGAATAAAATTTCTCATTTGCTTTTAAATTGTTGCAGGAAGCCATCATTCCCGCAGATAGGAAGAAAAAGTTCCTAGATTCTGAAGATTCTGAGTTGGAGAAAGTGATTGACTTTTACATTAGTTCTGAGAGTGATGTTTTTGTACCAGCAATTTCAGGTCTATTTTATGCAAATGTAGCTGGTAAGAGAATTGGTTCTGGTAAAACCAATATACTTGTTCCGGCTAATATTCCCGATTCTTCTGCTACTGCCTCAAGTTTCTTGTCCCATTATGTCTCCAAGAAAAACCACTTTGCCTATTCTTGTTACTGTTAGTTTGAAGATAAAGACATTCTAGCATCCGGTAGCAAATGTTGTGTCCCCATTGTTTTGGGAATTTCAGTGTTATGGCCTAAGGCCTTTTGTTTGAGTGTTCACCAAAAATTGAAGTTACCGTCATTTGAGGCATGTACATGGGGCTTTCTGAACTCATATTTAGTTTGTAAAATTATGGCTGCCCCATATTTATTTTTCATAACTGGTGAAACAATTGATAGTTCATTCATTTTCTTGATTTAGTGCATATAATATATTGCTTTAGGGGGAAAAACTCCTTGACGGTATTTATGTTTCAAAAGGCAAATAAACAGGTGTAACAAAAAAAAATGTTTTTTTTTTAACTTGTTTGAGGTTAGAGTTTTTTTTTTTTTTTTTAAAAAAAGAAAGATTTTAAACTCCGTCTTTTAGGTAGAATATGAAAGAAAAAACAAAACAGAAACAAAACTAGGGTTATCAAACTGAACACCATTGCATCAGCTAGCATTAGCAAGATGACAATGGATGTGATTCAAAATTCAATTTCAAGATTTTGAACTCACTAATGTGTTTGGATGAGAAATTTAAATAGGGTAATTCATTTATTTGAAGAATTTCAAATTCTTTGAGGTGAAATGCTTTGTTTGGATGAGAAATTTATAAAGAATTTGAAATCCAAGCATTTGTAAATTTCCTTAAAATAGTAGAATTTCAAATTCTCTCAAAAATGGGAGAATTTGAAATTCCTCATATTTGTTTTTCTTATTTCACCAATATATTTTATCTTATCTCTTCATTCTTTTAATTATTGGATATTCAAAAATATTTTTAAAATTATTAAATATTATCTTATATTAATTTTTAAAATTATTAAATATTATCTAATATTAATTTTTAAAATTATTAAATATTTAAAAATGGATTAATATTTATTTTTATAAAATTTAATTTAAAAATCTCAACATATAAATATATTTTTAAAATCAATTTTACTATGATGGAATCAAATTATCATATTCAACCTAACAATTTAAAATTTAAGAAATTTGAATTGACTCATCCAAACAAAATATTTTAGAATGATAGAAATTAAAATCAAAGTAATTCAAATACCAAGAATTTAAAATTCCTTGAATTTGTAAAATTACTCATCCAAACACACTAAAGTTAGTACATCCGGTTTGTGTCGAAAAAGAAAAGTTAATATGGTATTTTGAAAACCGGCTTGCTCGTTAGTCTAGCAGTATTAAAAATGCATTATTACTTTTTGGGCGTATTTCTTTATTAAAATACATTTTTTTTGTTCAAGTCATTAATTGATACTCCTTCATCCTTACATTGAATAAATCGTCACCTTCATCCTTGAGATAGTGGATGTCATTCATTTTAATTTTTAAAATATTATAAATTTTCATTTACTTTAATACATTTTTACTATAATTTTTTCACTAGCATAAAAGGTTAACATGAATAAAATTTTATATTATTTCACAAAGAATTAAAATAAAAACTTCATCAAGTTGAATATGAATAATACTTACAAAGTTTAAGGCCTATTCAACTTAAATTTAGAATGTAATTAAGGTACTAAAATTAAAATTAATAACAAGCCGTCTTAGCTGGTAGAGCGCATGGCTTTTAACCATTATATAAAAAATGAATGGTTGATATTAAAATGGAAATCAAGTCTTTATTGAAAAGGACACTTCTTTTATATAATAGTATAGGTTTGGTCTCTTTTATATCCTTTAGAAATTGTGTGAGCTAAATAAATTCTAAACCCTTGGACAAGTTAAATTCGGATAGGTCTTCTACAGATTGCATACAGGGTAATATCAGTTCACGTGACATATGAAAAAAAGGAATGGGGGTCATTGTAAAAATTCGTAAGAATTCATACTTAATAATAAAAATGTATTGCTATCGACAATTATTCAGATTCTAATAATATATTACTCTACCCCGCTCAATCCTTAACAAAGGTGGGAGACGCATATAGAATCAATGCTCTGCTCCCGTAACATGCACTTGAGGTATGGGTCTCACAGAGAATTTATTTCATCTGAAGACGTGACCAACATGTCATTATCATTTACAGAGATGTGAGATCCATAGAATTAATGTTTTGCTCTCGTAACATACACATGAGGCGTGAAACTTGTACCGTTGAATTGATTGATATGAAAACTATTAAAATAAGTTGATTTAAAAAAAATAATTTAAAAAAAAATTTGCATAAAATATTGTCTCCAAAGTGGTATGTTAGTTAGGGTTTACGATTATTTTCAATTTAGGACTAAGTTTTTCTATGAGTTACGTATATTTTTGAGTTGTGAAACTTTACCATTGAATTGCTTGATATGAAAACTATTTAAATAAGTTAATTTTGATTTTTTTAAAAATTTTTAATAAATAAATATATTTAATATTAACTAACTTATTAAACTTTATCAATTTTATTAAAAAGAATCAATTATATAAACATAAATTATTAAATTATTAAATTTCATAAAA